AAACCGTTTAGGGTTTAGGGTTAGTTGGGGGGGGTGTTCCGGAATCAGGGGTCCTCTCTGTGTCTCTCGGGCGTCCCAAAACAGGGGATACACTATCTGGGATGTAGGAGGGGGAGAATACCCAATTTTGGGAAATAGTACCAAACCATCTCCATGTGATAAGAACCCCCCTCCAGCACTGGAAAACCAGTGTACTGTATTGAACTATATTGGAACACCTTATTGTTGAGGGGGCGGGTGGTTCAGCATGAGGCGGAGGGGCCTACTTGGAACGGCAAAGACCATGGAAGCAACTGTGAAACGTGTTGCCACTACCGGCTTCTACTTGACATAGTCATTTTGTTGACCAGGATTCGCGAATGCTCGCAATGAGGCATGATGAGACATGTACTGTTGGAGTTGCTTTAGCTAGGCTTACCGCCAAGCAAGGCCAACAAGGAAGTATGACGCCTAAAGTGTAAGCACCGCTCCCCCGAAAAACTGGGGCCCGTCAAAAAAGCAAGCCAACCATAGCCCCAAACCCCCAAAGCCTGAACACAGACAGCTTTGAAACCATGGGCTTAATGCTGCCAATTCTGCCGCAAGGTCACGAGCAGTCTTTGTTTCGCCTTTCATCCTAGACTAATCGAAAACCCTGGGCCCTGAGCCCTCTGCCCTGAAACCCTAAAGACCCTAAACTATACCCCTTTATAACCGACTATAGTAGTTTCCATTTTCTTTTCCATTATCCCCATATAACCCCAATATACTACAGTCCTATATAACCCCAATATAATCCCTTTGCATCCAGGGCTCCCAAAAGCCCACAGGTGCCTGAACGCCAAGCTCTCCTGCGCAGATAGGCTTTGGATGTCGGTGGATTGATGCAGAGTGACGACAGCCATCATTAGTAGCAGTAGCCACCATGGTAATAATAATGCGGTAATGTATATGCAAGTTGCAGAAGAGTCATTGGCTGACAGAGCTGGTCGTGGCCTTTTGTAGTGGTTGTGGCGATAGGCATAATGACAACAATGCTGCGGGTTTGTGGTCGCAGTATTCACAACCAAACGCAAACGTCAACGGATCAATGAATTTGCTTCAGGAAAAGGGGCGCATAAGAGTCCGCATGTTGTTCAACACTCTCAGTGCGCTATGTGGGCAATCTTCCTTTTCAGTCAAACCGGGTGTCCTTCAATGACACGGAGAGGCGAGTCGCTGTAGTTTGCCCGCTCACTCCACGCCGAGCCTGTGAGTCCATCTTGGAACAACCTCGCTGATGTTTGTGATGTGCGACATGCTCAGACAAACGACCCATGGCATCTCGAACATGTGGTAACTTCAAGTGGGCTGCCGTGAGGGCCCTTAGATATTGAAAGAACATGAATTGTTGGGCGAGGCACATGCCAATGATGGCCATCATGGCCAGGCGGTCGTTGGCAAGCTCTGCGTTGACTGTTTTAGTTCGCAAGGCGGGGTCCTGGATGGAGGCACCGAAGCCCAGGTATCCCAGGCCGAGGTTGCCTTTGCCGTAGTTGCCCGGCTCGGAGGTCTTCTTGTTCACCACGAGCTCCAGGAAGCCGGCGGGGGCGTAGATCTGCGCCCAGCCCTCCCGGGGCACCACGGAGAGCGCCTTGCGGCCGTTGGGCACGTAGGAGGACTTCAGGTTCTTGGACGGGGACAGGAAACCATGGAACTTGCCGTGCTCTGGCATGGTACGTCCCATGTCCCGAAAACCCAGAAGCCCTTCGCCACAAGTCAGGCCTGGAAACCCGGTGTTCGGCTTCTCCCAATAGAGCGGCATGTTGTAGCCAAGGCCCATCAGTCCACCGCGAACAGGGCAGCTTGTGCAAAGTGCCCACCTGCCCCACCCAGACCCTGGCAGTCCGTTCTGGAAAAGCCTCAGCCAATACTCAAGTTGAAGTGCCCCACGCCGGAATACGTGCCGTGATTCGGTTATGGTTGCTGCGTCCTGAAGCATAGTTAAAGCTACTTCTTCCGGTGGGCCCTGCCGCGAAACCAAACCATGTGCTGGCTCTCAAAATGCCATGACTGTGGAATCCACAACTTTGCTGGCTACAATTATAATGGTGGAAGGCAGAAGATTGTGACAAGATGGTGACCTCAGCCACGATGACTGCTTTTGACTATGCTGTCCTTTGTTTACTGCTGCTGAGTCTGGCGCTACTATTCAAGGCTTGCTTTCGCCAAAGTGCTTGCCCACGCTGGCCATCATGGCGATGTGCCCGTCTGCTAGCTCCATAGCCAGTGCGTGCCTGCCAGAATAGACTGCACTCAGCCGCGCTTCCCACAACACCGAAGCAGGGGTACCCCAAAGGTCCTAAGAACTCTAAGCTTCCAAGCGAACCTTGGCAAATGTCAGCAGTACTATCAGGACCAAAGGCAAGAACATTGGTAACTTGAGGCTGCTTCAGTATCCTATGACAGTTGTCACTCTCGTGTCTCCACCTTTAGGAAGACAATGGTAGCCTCTTAGACCCTCAGCTCCCTTGACGCCTTGAAAGCAGAGTTCAAGGTTTCTGTCTACCTTGTTTGGACAGGATTGCTTCTGTCCTTTGCTGAAAGTATATGTCAGACCCCTGAAGCCATGTAAGAAGCTAGGCTTCTTTTAGGAACACATGATACTGAGAAACCCCTGTAACCATCGCCCTCATAGTCCTAGAGGATCTCAAGCTTGAACCGTAAACCACTTATCTCCAAAGAGCCGAAGAGGGTGTCAGTAACCCACAAGTGGGTACGTGCGATCTTGGCATACTGGTTGCACGGTAAATACTTGGATCTTCCAGGTGCAGTGAGGGTTTCAACTAAGAATCTTTCATCTGACCAAGGCGTGTGAAATTGAAGATGCGCGGGCCTACCAGTGGGTGTAACAGAGTTGATAACACATCAGTGGCCTTGATATCAATGTCTTGGGTTCCACGCCCTGCTCACGAAAAGCGGGTATATATCTCCAACAACTACTGGCTCCTTGTGGGGAGGTCGCCCTGTAGGGACTATCTTACGTTCTTATATTGGGGTATGGAATAGAGCAGTCTTGAATTTCCAATTTCAGTGTGTGTAGCATCGACTTCTGGTTTTGCGGTTTAAGCGTGCTGTCTCATCCAATCAATCCATTCCTGTAGACAATGATCTATTTCATAACCTTTCGGGCCCCGTGCACCCCCAGCACTCCGCATTATACAAGAACGGGCCACCAAAACGGGGGACAAGGTTCTAACAAAGTGTCCGCAATAGTTGCAAAATATTTTTTACGTCATGCTTCACGTGCGAGGAAGACTCACTGCAAAGATATGGTTGTGCTACTCGCCCTCAAGCTCGCGCCCCGGTACACGCATGGGCGATGTTTGAAATTCGGCTCATTTGAAATAAATTTCCATCTGCTGTACATCCGCCTGGCTTTTGCAGTAAAAAGCTGGCATCCTACGAGCCCCTGAACCTGTCCAAACATCCCTGTACAAACTGCTCGCCTTTGACACGTGTGCCATTCAAAGATTCCTTGAGTCCATAATATCATAGCATGTACTGCGTCCCTAAAGTGCCTATGAGAGAACCCTTTGGGCTCCAAACATCTACCATATGTCCGCATCGACCTTTAGGAGTTTGGTTCCATGTTAGTCTTGCGGACGGTCAGCGCTTTGAATCCCAACCATTGTTGTTTGAGGGAGAACTGGCCAGTGAAGGTAGGTATCATCACGACGGAAATGCAGCGGGATTATGTGGCATACTTCTAGGAAACCACACGCACGGAACCCTGATCTCCGAACCCTTGCTCTACTCAGCTTCAACACCGGAGGTTTCCGCCTTAGCCGTCATCGTCTTCATCGGAGCCGCAGTCGTACTCATACTTGAAGTCGGTCAAAACAGGCACCAACATAATCCTTGGTCTGAGCCCTGGGCCCTCAACTCACATCGTAAACCTGGACCCTAAGTTTGTCAAAGTTCGAAATGCAGACCTCTAAATCCTACAGCCCAGACCCTAAACCGTTAACCTCTAAACCTAAACACTTAAGCCCAACCTTAAAACTCTAAACCCGGCTCATGATGTACTTCCTGCGATTTGGGATACTTTGGGCCACCGATTGCGCCTAAAAGTACTACACTTCCTAAGATTTGGAATACATGGCACGTCGTAGGATTGAGTCCATCGTGCCCAAGACGGGGAGTTGTAACATGCGGAGCTTTGAGGTGGGATGAAAGAGCTCCGAGCGAAAGATTGAGGCATCTGGGCTTGGACTTAAGGCTTACGGCGACTGAAGCTCATCTACAAGTTAGGGTGTGTAATTTGTGTTTTTCGGCTTAGGATTTGGAGTTGGGGATCTGTTTAGGATTCCGTCTTTAGGAATTCGGGGCCTAGCTTCCGCTCTTGTAGAAGCAGACTGGGAAGTGCTGATATCACAATCAATCTATGTGGACCCATCCTGCGCTCGAAATCTTAAACCTTCAAGCAGAAATTGTGTGACAATTTCCATTGACCAACTCAATATGAGTTTTGGGGTGCAGACAGGGCCGCTGGACTTGACACTCTTAGGCGGTTGTTAATTCCATGAATTTCCTTTTGAAGGTTTCTAGTCCTAAGCGGCACATGTGGGCTTTGGGATTTTCCGCTTTCAGACTGCAACTTGCAGGGCTTGTCAACAATTGCGGCCCCGTTTTTCAGTCTCACGACAGAAGGGCCCGATTTTTTGTGAGAAGGGGAGGCCGACAAAACATGGAGGTGAGCAGCGTGCAAGAATCATGTCAACCTGTCATGAAGACCTTCATGAATTTGCAAAATGAATGCTTTCATTAAGTCATTAGGAGCAGATAGCTGAGCACCTGGGATGTTGGTGATCATTTCTGTCTCCAGTGTACTTGTGACTTAAAGCTTTGGGGGAGATATGAGGCAGGGATGCCTGATATGGCTTCACTATAATGGGATGCAGGAAACCTATATACTCACCGCTCCAAGAAATTCCAAATCGGTATTGTTTAGGGACTTCTTCCCCCAAAGTACGTAGCGCTTAGACCTTAAACCTAGGGGGTATACAATGACCGTAGACACCGCAAAAGCCCCACCTTGTATGATTCACGCACACACATGGAGAGGTACAATCTTTGTTGCAGCAAAGGCGCGCCACGATCTGATCCAGATGCGCGAATATTTCGGTATCTGTCATCACCATGGTTGCCTAAATTTGGCGGGTCAAGACAACGATACGCCGAGAAAACCAACAGATCCAAAGAACCTTTTTGTTTAGGACCATGTGGAGGTCAAGGACTGGCTCACCTTCTACAACGTTTATATGCTGCATGCTTGAGGAGAACTAACAGCCTGAAACCCCATGCCTAAGGTGTCAGTTCTGAGCCTTCCTCGCTAATACTACCCACGCACATCAGGCCCAGCCCTTCCACCTGATTTGGGGTGGGGAAGTATAGGAGTCATTGATGCAAGAATGGCCCGCCAAACATATAGGGCTTGCAAGCCTGCAGACGCACCGTTACAAGGAGTTAATCGCCTGCTTTGGCCTGAAATTCCCCTGTAGATTGTGCTCTTGGATTTGGGGCTCAGGATTTCGGTACAGGATTTTTTCTGGTAGTGCATCGAAGGACACCACGCTTAGGAACCTCTCTTTAACGTCTCTTCGATCCATGTTCTACAGATGGTCTTCGATCAGAGCTACAACACAATCATTTTTCTGCAGTTTCCTTGCTTGTTTTTGCTTGTATTGCTGATGTTGCGTCTCCTCCCTCTTCCTCACACTACAACTAGTACACTGGCCGCTACAATAGGCCGCCATGACAGCTGACAACACAACGGAATATAAACATGCGCATGCTTTCAATCAACAAGCTGACTGGGCCTGGAATCACTCCCTTGGTCACAGCAACAAGACATCTTGTGTACTTGTTAGCGTTCAGAATCCAGGGGCCCAAATATGATGGGTTTGAGAAACTCCCAGATCGAGCTGGAAATTTGCGTGGCAAGCCCCGAAGATGACGCACCTTGGACCCGAAATCCTGAGCCCTGGGGAGCCCGGAGGGTCTAGCTGCCTAGACTCCAAGGCGTCGGGTACCAAACGCTAAATTCTCAAAGGCTTTTGGTGCCGAAGCCAATTGGGTACTAGAGGGACTCATGGCAATGGTCTTCTTCAAACTGCGGAGAGATGGGCCAGGCCGTGGCATTCTGACATGATTCTACCTACTGGAGGATGAATATGTGCCCTGAAGCTCTGAGACCGGAAGTCCCAACCAAAATTTGCCAATCTGAAGCCAGCCGCGAACAGTATGAAGGAGAAGAAAGCTTGAAGCCAGCAGCACTTGAGCAAGTCTGAGCACTTCGAGAGAAGCTATGGTGACATGTCAGCATTGCATTATGGATATGACAAGGCTGATGTCAAACGAATGGACTATCTTTAGGGGATCTACCTAAACTACAACCAACTTCCGGAAGACGATGTGCGCGACAGCAGGGTATTTGCGCTCCCTGGAGAACGTGGAGCCCTAAAGTCTCAAATGCTTACACCTTGTACCATACACTTATTAAATGCTAGGCCTTAAGCCCGGAGCTCCTATCCTCCTACAAAGCAGCACTGCGCTCCAAAGGCTTCAGAATAAGTCTACGCTCAGCTGAGGTTCATGACATGGGTATGTGGCAAACGACTGGTGCTAGGGCTCGGAAAGCTGCCATCCGTGAAAACAAGACCCTGGTTGCAGTGGCATGGGTCT